CCCAAAAAAAAAAAAAAAAAAAAAAAAAAAAAATGTTCTCATGGAAAATAAATTAGGGTTGCATATAATATACTGAAGATGGTGGGATGAAATTTACCACAACAAAAATTAAGTACGTTACCAATGCAACCTCAGTCTCAGCGGCACCAACAAACTCCTTTAATGTCTGCAAACAAGGTGAAAAATGGAAAATGTTACAATAAATAGTGACATTGCATATAACATATTTAAATAGAATTTATTTATTTTTTTAAAAATCCTATTTTGGGTTAAAAAGAATTACAATTAAGAAAGGAAAATTGGATTTTGGGAATAAAAAAAAAAAAAATGGGAACATGGATAAATCCAAACAACTTGCAATTTCAAGTGACTATTGCAATAGGTAGGATAGACAGATTTCCCACTTTTTGAGTATCAAAGATTCAACTTACAGGGTATCATTCATAATATTGATCAAAACTATTTCAATGGAAAGAGGATCCTTTTTGGACATCATTAGTCGATTTGAAGAAAATTGGATGGTAAATGGCCTCATTGCCACGTGATTGGCGCTAAATAACATTATTCAAAATTTTGATACGCTCCTAGTCTGGTTAAGAAATGACATTGTGGCATGATATAAAGATGATATACCGCATAAATATAAATAGGATAAAAGAAGCAAAGATACAGAATAGACATCATAATACCTCGCAAAAAGTTTCAGATACAGGGCCATCATTCTCAGAACCAGCCAATTCCTGCTTTACTTTCTCTAATCCCTTGATGATGGCTTTTAGTTCTTCTGCTAATGATTTCAATTGTATCTGTAGTACAAGCCATTACTATCCAAATTCTAGCTATAGTTTACAAAACTATCATTCACAAAAGATAAAATACTAACCTTTGAAGCAGCTTCTAGGCTAACAAAGGCTAACAAGATCTTGGCCTCCCGGGGCACAGCTCAACTGGTGGATCAATCAACATTTGTCTTGCTTCCAGCGGCAGGGTGGAGGTTCGAATCTTGGTGGGAACCTACGGCCAGATTTATTTGGCATGGAGCAATCACTTTGGAGGAGGATCTCTTGTGCACAGAAGTGTACAGGCGATGGGGGAACCTGTGATCCAGTTGAGGCATAACCCGCGATTTACCCCCTCCAAGGTTCTAGGGGCAAGGGTCTTGAGGGTCCAGGATTTAGTCTAGTATAAATTGGGATAC